AGAGAAAGCCGAAAGAGAGCATCGTAGAAGCCTCCGCGACGCTGCCAAAGCTATACAATTGCCCCAATCGGGTAAGCGCAAAGCGTCAAAACCTCATAAGCCAGCTACAAAGCGTCAAAAGTGTGGTGGTGTTGCTCCAGCTGTGGTGGGAGCCGCAAGGGTTGCACGAGCTGCTCCACCGCGTAGTCGACGGCAACGACCGATAACGCCCTCCAAAAAAATTTCTGAATAAGCCAAAACTTTCGTAGGCCTGTATATAGTATAATCCTAGCTTTGCGCAATTTTATTACGATTTATGGTGGCTCTACAGCCTCATCTTGTTGACTATATTGAGTTGTTGGGGGTGCTCAACTGGCGATGGTGCTCATCTGGTGCACGGGCACTGTAGAATAGTAAGCGGCCCACATCAGTAAGTGGCCCACCCCACCAAACCTGACCCGACTCTCCACACAACCACTACTATGCCGCGACAACAACGCTCTATATAGTCTTCTTATGAAGGTAGAGTTCTTCTAGCATCTCACGCGTTTTAAGAGGAACGTATTATAAGCTAGCGTTAAGCTACTATACTATACGACGCTCCACGAACGACGGTCCGACGACGCCTCCGCAGTACTAAGCCACAATTAGAGATAGCCTCTATTAATCGTAAGCTATTAGCTATCAAAGAGCAGTCTCTGATTTAATAAATGCTAGAGCTAGACTAACGAGGCTTTCTGCCACATATTATCGACGTGCGATAGATAGCGGACGCGTTACTTACTGTTATGGGCGGAGAGGCCTAGCGAACGAGTATGCTTCTACCTATCGTACAGAAGCTAAAAGATGAGGAAAAGAGAAGATAACTAAGTGCAGACTTCTCTTATACCTGCTCGCTTCTGGTCACGTGTTTATATAGAAGACATATCACGTGGTCAAAGATCACCTGATCCCCTCAGTAGAGATCACGGGCGCAGCCCTTTACATTTTGTATCTAACATACGTGAGAGGAAATAGGTTCCTAAGCTCATCCCAGCACGCGTGCTAACAGGCCACCAGCGGATTTCAAGTCTATTTATCATGGGCTTGACATATGAATACCTCGATGTTTTCGGGACAACGTAGATCGCTGCACACCATCGCAATCAGCAATGTCCTGGTACGTAAAATATTCTCCTAGTTCTAGCGAGTCGATTACGGTAAGCGCGTCCTCAATAACTCCCATGGTGGCGGAGTTAAGTACGACGCGTCGAAGATGGGGCTGAGTTTCGTGTTCTGGCCGTCACACACGATACCTAGTAATAGCAGGCTTGGCAACCGCGCCGCTACGGAGTCCAAACGACCAGCTGCTGAACACGACAATGACGACTCCTTGACTTCACAACGTCACGCGACGTGTTGCCATATGTTCGTTGCAGGCCTTCCTTGTGCGATATCATTACTTCACGCCGTTCTCCAGTTTTGCAGATCTTTCCTTGACCCCAACCGTTAGGAAGCCCGTCGTACTTGCGCCCCACCCCGTCACCCATTTAAATTCCACAAAGAACGTACGCATTGAAAGCAGAAATGATACTGGGAAATATGTAAAGCGGACCTTCAAACAGTAGGGTTGGTTTCAAGAAGTCTGTTCAACTTACACGACTACCTAGTGTTGTATTGCGAAATGGTTTCGAAGCAAACAGCAAACAAGCGAAAACGGACCTCGAACACTCCCGCCCGAAACAAGCGACGTCGAACAACACGGCTCGCTTACACCAACGCATCTGAACCCTATCGAGAAAATAGGCCTGCTAGCGAGAAGTTCTGGGCGGCGAGAAGGATCCTGAAGGACAATGGGTCCCATTATCTGGTCGAATGGGAGGGCATCGACCCAGCGACGGGACGTCTGTACAAGCCAACATGGGAACCGCATGACTTCGTCACTCCAGCCCTAGAA